GACCAGTGGCAACCATTACAAGCTTTCCAATTTGCTTGCCCGAATTCCTGTCTCGGGATGCTTGTGGTCGTTCGAGCAGCAAAAGCATAGAGTGTCTTGCACCTGGAACTTCTGCAACTGCTGTCGCACCTCTTGGAGTTGCTTGGCCACGCCGGCTGCAAGGACATTTACTGGCATTCCAGCACAGAGTGCAGGACTCAGTATCAAAATCACCAGCTGCAGGACGACTGGACCAGGCACTTGGGACGTTGTCGCACTAAAGGTGAAGGAGACTCCAAAAAACTCCGTGTTTCCAAGGACGATATGAATACAACTGAGCACCCAAGCCCAGCAGAGATACAACAGCAGCAGAATTGGACCAGCCACGATAGGCATTACCAGAATATCCTTCTGCCTGTTCTGGTTTGTCAGGAATGTGGCAATCTCATATGCGCACCACAATCCTTCGCTGCTCCCTACCATCTGCGAACTTTTCCGTATCCCCTGTTTACAGAAGCTACGAAAATGATACTTGCAGTCATAAGCTGCCAAGACTCTGCTGAAGTACCTGCAATCTTTGGCTAGGAAGACAGTCAGTAGAATTCAGATTAGTACTTACAAGAACCATCTGCATGTGTGAATGGGAGTAGCAGCCCGACCACCTTCAAGTTTAAACATGTGGCAACACACGACCCATGACACCGCAACACAAGGCTGACATCCAAAGCTAAACCTATAGTCTGCATTGTGTGTCCTTTTTTGGTTTAACCAACTATATATCAAGGATTTTATAAGGTATCCCCAAAAAGGAACTACGGTGGAGACTGTAGGTATCTGATGGTATCTGATACCCTGCACAACCTTCCACAAGAAAGGCTCATCGAAGATCGGACTATCGACAGCAGTTTCGAAAAAGTACTACTACGGATCGTCAAAATTCAACGCCCAACTGCAGAGACTTACAACCTCCCTCTGTAAAATGGACGAGGGTTCGGGGTCACCACCACCCAAAACAGCCATCTAAGCTGGTTGTTGGAAACCCTCAACGCCAAAACCCCTAAACCCCATGCCCTATAGCCCCAACGCCTTAACATCTCACCTAAACGCACTAAACCCTAAACCCCCAAACCCCCAAACCCTAAACCCTGTACCCCCTAAGAACCCCTAAGCCAAAAGCCGTCGGGACCTTGGCGACCAGAGTACCACAAGCCTGCGGGAGTGGTTGAGGAACGCAGCCAGACCGAGGATGCCCTGCTCTTACAACGGTTTAGGCTTTTGCTTAAGAACCCAAAACCCACTTTTTTGTAGGTTCTTATTATAAGCCCTAATATGGGAAGTATAGGGACCCTACAAAAAAGTAGGTTTTGGGTTCTTAAGGTTAAGCTCATAGAGTTTAGGGTTTACGGCTTAGGATTTAAGTTTGAGAGTTCAGGGTCTCAGGTTTAGGGGTAGGTGTTCAGTTTTTAGGATCCGAAGTTGCGGGGCGGAGGCACTGAGGATTAGTTTTTTTGTTTTAGTTTTTGTCTGTTGCTTGCGCTCCAAAGGTCTACATCACTATCGCATCCTCCGCTCTCACCCAGTAAGCCCGCATTGTTCTGCCCTTAGGGTTTAAGGCTTTAACAGCTTGTGCTCAAGTCCCCGGAGCCTTCTTCTTGAGTTCAGCTTGTTCAGGGCTTTGGGCGATGCAGAGCTTGTCCAGAAAGACCATGAGAGGTCGGCAGAAGAAGACAAGTCGAAGTCTCTGCCAAAAGCAGAGCACCAGGAGATGCACGGCATATCCCAGGCACGCTGTCCATCGGTTGTTCGGTATCACTTCGAACAAGCGGCAGATGGAGATCAAGGGACAGACCAGAAGGGTTGCTAAAAAGGCAGGACCCGAGTTGTAGATGATGAGCAGGTTGCAAAGCTTGCTCCATCTAGAAGTTCCCCAATCCTCAGCTCGCCGATGTGCGAAATCCCCTCAAGCCCTAAGCCTACCCATAGGCCCCATAGTAGTTCGTTTTTGGGGCTCATACTTAGAATCCTAGAAGGTAATCCCAAAAAATGAACCACTATGGGACGTCCCCAACTTTCGGCCGAACCGATGCTTCGAACCCGGGATCCCAAGCCAAGAAACATGGCTGAGGAAGTCGTCAAAGAAGTCCACCTCTCTGCGCGAATCATCATCATCATCATCGTCATCATCACCAGCACCACCACCACCACCATCATCACCATCAAAACCACAGACACCATCACCATGGGTAGCGATTTTTCCATGCATGTACATAACGGTGTGTGTGTGCGCATGCGAACACACAAGTGATTTCTGTCTGTGCGTGTCTCTCCTCTCTCGGTCTCTTTCCCTCTCAGTCTTACGTACAAACAGCGACCAGACCTGCCGTCCCTTTTTTGCATCCAGCCTGCAAGAGCCTCTGCTGGGAACCTACAGGTCCCTAAACCTTCAACCCTAAACCTGAGTGGAACCTTAGAACCCTTATAACTAAACCCTTATAAGCCCCATAAGCTCTCCTTTTCTGCTCTTGGGCTTGAGGACTGACTGGCCAGATCCGCTCAACCTCGATCATCACGACTGAGGCCCATGCACGTGCCACCGTCACTGGGCCCGCCGTGCCAACCCTAAACTGCCCTAAATCCTGAGCCCTGAAAACCCTTTTTGAACCCCAAAACTGCCAATCAGCTGGGAAGCAGCGCTTCCAGATGATTGCCCTGAAAACCCTAAACCCTAAACCCCCCCCGAAGAGACCGCTCAGGAACCCACTCTCCGGCTGAGCTCGTAGTTGCGTGCATCCACATTGAACCTGAGCTCCCAACTGCTCTTCGCTCATGGCTCTTTTTGAATTGAGGAGCCGAAATAATAACACGGTTCCCTTTTACGGGTTTTTAGAAGGGTCACACACTGGCCCCTGGGTTAAAGGGCCTTAGCAATCGGAATAGGGTTTGGGGTCTAGAATACTATGTTTGGTACAGACACCCTAAAGAATTTGAATAGTGTGCTGGGAATTATGCAGGCTTCTATGTTACCTTGCTGTTTAGGGGGTCTTGTTTCCTTCAATGCATAGTGCTCGAGAGCCCAGGAGCATCCCAGGGTCAGGCGGTCGCCAGTGCCTGGCCCATTGCGCCAAGCCTTTCCATGGGGCCGCAAAACCCTAAACGTCCCTAAGCCCTAAACCTTAAAAAACCCTACAAGCCCTTGTTGCCTCTGGTCTGCAGGGACTCAACCAGGACAGCAACAAAACGCAAAACCGCAGGCAGCACGGGACCCTAAACACTAAACACCGAAAACCTAAAACCATAAACCACCAAAGTACGCGACAACCCTAAACCTGAAACCGCCTAAAAAAACCCAAAGAAAACCCTAAGCCGTAGCAAGGGGCAAATGTGCAAAGGCACTCCTCTGAGAAGCTCAGGTTCGAGGTCCGTGAGCAACTCTGGAGAATGCATGGCTCATGAGGGTGCTTTTTGAGGTGTAAAGTTTAGGATTGAGGGTTTAGGGTTTTGAGGTGTTGGGTTTAGGGCATACGGTTCGGGGTGTGGGCATTTTTGTTGCGATTTAAAGACTCAAGGTCTCTGGCGAATGCATGCCTCCCTTGCTTTGGCTTTTCTTGGGGGAGTTGGGGATTCAGGGGTCGTGGCTTTTGGGGTTCTAGTTGGTGTCGTGAGAAAGTCTAGAGTCTAGAGCTTTTAGATTTTTGCATGTGTGTTTTTAAATCTCTTCCATTCTTTTAACTTTTTGGCATGCGCCTTTGTGCATTTTTTTAAAGAGTTGGGGGATTTTGGTCTCAGGGCTGTCAGGGCTCAGTCTCCTTTGTGTTACTCTCTTTGCTGCTTCCTTGCTAATCAACCTGTTGAGGTTCAGAACGATTTAAAGCTGTAAAAGGTTAGGGAATCTAGGGTCAGGGGATTTGGTGTTGTGGGTTTAGGGTTTAGGGTTTCTTCCCTCTGGTTTAGGGTTTAGGGTAGGGTTTTTCACTCTGGTTTAGGATTTAGGGTTTAGGGTATTAGATTGATTTGCGAACTCTCGGCCGTAGTGTTCAAGCAGGTCTGGGCTAACGGCTGAAGGTTCTGCAATTCCAGCTTGGGTGATGGGTATCTACAGGGAGCACGGGACACTAAACCACACTTGAACCTATCCTGCGCCAAGCTTAATGGTTATAGAGACCCGGATGTTGATCATCACATCTGCCTCTTGAGCCCTTGGCTTCTGACGGGGCACACACGCCAAGATAACCCTACAGCCTCAGCAACCTCACATACTAACAAAGCTCAAGCCCTAATCCCTGCTGAGCCCCAAACCGAAAGCTATGTTGTGAAATGCCAAGCATTGTCGAACCATATTTTGCTTTAGGAATAGAGCCGAGGCGGCTATCAGCATACACTCCACACCGCAGTATCGTAGCAGGTCTGCCGAAACATCACCAACAAACTGACGTAATCGTCATCATCGTTTATGTAATCCTGTCTTGGGCTTGCAACCCAAACCCTCGGACGCGGCTGCGGGCTCAATTCAAAGAGGTCTGTACTTTCAGGTGAGAGATGTTGGAACACCATTAATCGTGGAAGTTGTGCTCCGAGACACCTTGGACACGCAGGTTCTGTTAGGGTGTACGGAAGTCACAAAACTCTACATAGACTCTTTCTCATACGTATTTGGCCCTCAACAGAGGCCCCCCTTATGCCTTTCACTGCCAAGCCTCCTCAGCAGACCTCAACAAAACCTACGCGGTACAGAAACAACAAACGGACACAAACATCGTGATCGCTGAAGCAGCCACAGCTCCTTTCAGCTTAAGTTCGTCAGCGGGCTGATGGGCGTGTCGGGGAAGAAGGGGTCCCAGCTGGATTCCAAGGGTAGGATCCTCAGTGTGAGGACCTCCCGAAGAGAGAGAAACCCAAAGCCCTGCACCCAAAACCCAAACTGGAAACCCTAAACCCCAAACCCGAAGCGATACACCCAGAGCTCCAACTCCTAAACCCGAACTTAGAGACCCATGGCGAAGAAACCAATGCCACAGGGCTGCAACGATGACGACTCCATGTTACCTGGAGCAGCAACCGATTGTTAAAGCTGGGTTCGGGGTTTGGGGTGTAGGGCGTATATGGCTGAAAGAGGTAGAGTTCGAGGGATTTGGGTTTAGGGTGTAAAGCTTGTTTGTTAAGGTTTAGGGGGCTAAAGGTTTGGGGTTCAGGGTTGCTGTTTTTTCACCTCCCCAGGGTTGGGGTTTAGGGGAGCTGGGCTTGTCGGTTTCGTGACCGTGCGCTGCAAACCCAACGTCGGCTTAGATTCAGAGTGTGGCTACCACAGTACCTAATCCCGAAAGGCCCCAAATTGTAGGAACCTTGGAACTCATTCCCAATAACGAGTCAGAGCAGCTGCGCCACGACCCACGCCCTTAACGGAACTAGCCGGAAGATGTGGGGAATGCTGACAGCTTAAGTTTCTCAGGTTTCAAATCTTTCGGGTTCGGGGATGAGGCTGGGTCAAGGGCAGTTCAGAAGCTCATTGGCACATGCAGTGGCTCGACCAGGTTGACAACTCGAAAAAGCTCGCTGGCAGAATCATACGTGCGGCTGGGTTGATACGCCAGAGATCCGCCTGGGAAGCATTTCAGATGAGCAATGTCCTTATCCCTTTCAATCGGAAACGCAAAGTGCAATCGCACCATGTCCGCTGAAGAATCCCAGGCCCCAAAACCTTCTGCTCTGAACCCTGCAACCAAAATCCTTCAGCCTGAAGTTGGAAAAGGACCCCGTCGTGTTTCAACCCGAACCTGCAGATGGCTGAGCGCAGGGACTGTTGCCGACATGAGGCTGTGGCTCACTGCGCAAGAAGCTACTTGCACAAGTGCCTGGCTTGCCCAGGTCTTGCAAACATGGGTAGAGGAAATTCTGGAGGCTTCTTCCCGCCCGGACCCCCAAACAGCTCTATGTAAACCCAAGCCCTTTCAAAGGCAACAAATAAATGTAACATGTCTTCCAGGGCACCGTCTCTATCAGGCTCAGATTTGGGGTCTGCAGGTTGCGTGTGAGGATCTGAGCTGCAAGCCTTTAGGATTTGGGGTTGAGGGCTCTGACAATTGCTGCATAAATCAGGATCGGTTTGTGCATGTCATGCCTGCAGGAGCTGTAGCATGCAGATCTTGGAAAGAAGGTTGGGTTAGGGCGTGTCCGAGGCTGTCCAGAGGGACCGATCCCTGGCGAAATCGTGAAACCCCAACTGTACTCGGCTCGTCGTTGAGCTAGAACAAGCCGTTGATGATGTGTATACGGAAAAGGCGATGTTTGGCAGCACAAAACCCCGAGAACTAGAGGATGCACGACAGAAGGATGGCACCACAAGCATCGGTGAGGAGAGGTAATAGTTCTGAATGCTTTGGGGGCAAAGAAGGCAGCCGCTAGAGGAACAGCCTCTTTACTTGCCAGCGTGTGCGTTCGAGTCTCAGGTATGGCTTGTGAACCTTATACAGGAGATCTAGCCCAAATAAGGCTTCTGTTCTTCTTTGCTAAGCTCGTGTACCGATAGCGTTCAGTACATGGTATGGCCGAGTGCCCACACAAAGATACCAGAAATGAACATGGAATACGACAGGTTGAGCGGGCAAACCAAAGTTTTTGAGAGCGGCCCAACATTCAGGTGACCAAAAGAGCGATTAGTAACAGCTGAGAACAGCGACAAACTGCTGTCCCTGAGATTGCGAAGGAAGTCAAGTGATCACACAATGTTTACACCGTTGATTTCCAAAACCTACACATGACATGGGGTACGAATAATTTTCGATGACCGGCGCAGATTCTTCCCTCTTTCGTCGGTGCTGGTAAAACTGTACACTGTACAATGTGCTTCACTGCCAGCATCCTGGACGGCCGCGGGGGGGTTTGGGATGCAAAGGGAACCCAAAAGCAACGGCCCAGCGCCCGACGCAAACACCCGCTCAACAACGCTCTTTATTATTTTTCGACCAGGTAAAGATTCCCAGTATTCCTAAGCCACCAAACCCGTCTGCGAATCCCCATAAGCCAGCGAGAAGTCCTTCGTTGCCCAAAGCCCAACCCTAAACTTAAACCCTAAACCCCTAAACCCTAAACTCTAAACGCCCAAAGTCAAAACCAGCAGTCCAAGCGCCTGGTGAGCGAAGTCTAAACAGGGTTTTGAATGTTGCGTGGTTTGGGGAAGAAGGTTTAGCAACTTCTCGCGTCAAGATATAGGATTTTGGACTTTTTGTAGGGTTTAAGTTTAGGATTTGACATGTGGCAGCTTATACTCCCAGATACCGGGTTTTTCAATTTGTGATTTTGGTAGGGTGCAGGGTTTTCAGGCACTTTAGGGTTGAGGGTTAGAAGAGGCTTTAGGCTTAGGGTCTTGGGTCCGGGTTGGGGGCTTGACTTACCAAAGCTGTCTCAGGTCATTTCTCCCAACCAGCCGTTGGTTGGGTTTGTCATCTTCCCACAGAGCCCTTTTCCATGCAGTCGCACAGGGGTGTCCTAGCTGGACACCAGGACGCTGGATCAAATCCTTTGGACTAACCTCGCTGATTCCCGCGAAAGTTTACCGGAAACTGGCCGCCGCAGCAGTTGGCGTGCAGTCAGAACTGGGCTCCCGTCTGGCATGGTGTAAAAAGGTTATCCTTTCGAACATAACAAACTCAGCTCTGAAAACCGCAACTCTATAATAGAAACGGCAAGCAATCAAGAACAGGATCCACCACGAGCGCCCAGAAAAGAGCCCCCACAGCCTACGTTGATGCAATAGGCGGCGAAGGCCTGAGACTTCAAATTTACACTGCAGCTCTACTCAACCCTAAACCCTAAACCCTAAAAAATAAACCCTAAACCCTAAACCCTAAAACCCTAAACCCTCTACTCCCATCATCCATTTGCACGATCAGAGCCGACACGCTCAGAAACCCGGTGTAGATCTGCTCTAGAATCGTGATGCCACTCCGTTTGGGTATAAACTCATTGGGCTTTTTTTGCCTGGGCATTAGAGCCATGCATTTAAGTATTATAGATCCGAAGTATGGCCTATATAGGGCCTATAGACCTCAACAGTCTCGCAGCTCCAGGAGTTTGTCGGGCCATGCCGCGCTTTCGTTGCTTTAACCTGCAGTTGGGGAGACTTCTCCAAGGCCCGGCCCAGTTGAGTCATCTACATAGCTCATTCGATCGAGTCTTAACCTAAACCCTAAACCCTAAATCCTAAACCTTAAAGGCTTAGGGTTCAGGATGCCACGGCTTTTTTCTCCGAGTGGCTTTATATCTCAGCGTGCCCGGCTAGGTAATTGTGGTTTCCTGTGCTCTGCGTGTAGTGACCGCAGCAGATGCGACCAAATTGAATGTCCATGTATGTTGGCAAAATTAGGACCTCGAACCCTAAGCTCTAAACCCTAAACCCGGCCCTGATCCTGCTCTTTGCCTTATGCATCAATCTGCAGTTCCTCTTCACCACTCGTTGCTCGGACCGGAGACTGGAATGCGCTCAGGTGACATACCTTGCAAGGCAATACTGTGCCGTTTTTGTTGTTTTTAGTCTGGGGTTCTAGGATTTAGGCTGTATGGATTTTTTGGTTTAGGCGCTGAGGGCTTAGGCAGGGTCATATTAAGACTTGTTGGACTCTTGGGTGCTAGCACTTTCTGCTATCCAGGTCTACGTGTCGGCTAATCAGGTCATCGTACGCTTGGGTTGACGGTAGCACGAAGGCAAGCCAACTCAGATATCCTAAGCCGGTAAACCCTACACCCCGCAAGGTATTAGGGTTTTTGGGGTGTGCATGGTTCCATAGGTTTTCAAAATGAACAGTTGCGGCCTCAGTTATGGAACGGCAACAAGCCTTACAGCCTAAACCGGTTATAGGAGGTATATTGGTTCTTGAAAGATTAGGGGCTCCTTTGCATCGGCATCCTGACAATGGATCTACTGTAGTCTCTTACCACATATTCTTTCACACTGGGGACTTCCTGCATCATGCACTGCTTTCATCTACATCCTGGCCCCCAAGCACTATGAGCAGCAACCTGACAAGCAAATTTGCATGCAGGAACGCATTGAGAACTGCGGCGATGAAAATGTCAGAGGGAGGAAGGTTCCGGGAGAAGGAACACGTCTACATGAGACTCAACGATTTATTAACTTGAAAACACCCTTCAGCAGACGACACCTGCCGAGACGTGTCAGGACCGTACGAGGCTGAATATCAAGTGTCAGACTTGTAGTCACCTCAACGATATGACTCCATCATCATCGCGTCCAGCAGGCTTGGACTGCAACTAGGATCCTCAAACAAAGTCCTAAAACCACAAAACACCTAAACCCTGACAACCTGCTTGCAACTGGTCTGCAGCGAACCCTGCAAAACCGCCCGAAAGCCCTAAACCCCCTGAACCCTGAACCCCTAAACCGTTGATGCTGGATTGTCATGTCGGCCGTTCTACAGTGGCGGTTTCGGTGCTCACACTCGGACAATCCAGGCGAGTCATTTGGTTCGAGGTCCCTTGAGAAGTGGCTTGGGATCTTGGGCCTCCGGCGAGGCTGAAACCCCGAAATCCTAAACGTGTTTAGGGTTTAGGGTTTAAGGGCTTTCGGCTGCCTTCGATTCGGTGGCTGGGTTTCAGGTATGCCTATCGAAGTCTGGGTTTCGGGAAGGCCCTGAAGCCTCCTGCAGCCTGAACGGCTTAGGGTTTAGGGTTTAGGCTTTGGTTTAGGGTTTAGAGCTCAGGGCTTAGGGTTTAGATCCCTATCACTAAACCGTACCTGGTTGGACGGACGATGGTGATGGTGGGAAACAGGTAAGTGATCGTCATGCTTCTGACAAGCTTCTTATGACTAGTGGAAAGAAGCTCCTGTGTGAACTGAGCACCAGCACCATCTGGACTATCATTGCGTTTGTCCTACGACCTCTTTTAAATTGCCCTTCCCCACCCTGACCGTAAGATGCAGGACATGGCACAGCAATCCGTTCCCGGAAGCAGATGCCTCACAACACGCGGCATGCACATCCAGTCCCGGCTTCAGCGCTGAAGGTTCAGGCTCGACAAGCTCAG